AGGTTGCTAATAGGTACATAAAGAGGTGATTCCTTGAAGCAGTGGCTAAGGGTGCCCCAGAGAGTCCTTTTCAGTAAGTTTGTACAGTTAAGTTGGTGTCTTTCCAGAGGCAGAGCTTCCTGTCGAAATACAACACTTTNCTTCTCATCACCCTGACAGATAGCAGACTCCAGCACTTCTAAACTACTCTGCTAAATTAGTTAGCTTTTAAAAGGAATATGTGCTACTTCGGTATATCAGGGTATTAACCTAGTGTCTGTAGCATCAACTATTTTGATTTATCACTGCAGTGATCTGCTATTGTATGTCTTCTGTATCTCAAAGAAGAGAAATTAAACTATTTGCCAGTCTGAATTTTCACTAAAGGGAGCGCTTACATTATTGTTTGGTCAGCTCCTAGAAGGGACCAGGTAGTTTCCAAATGAACTAGCACATTTACATAAATGATGGACTCTTTCTGAGTCATTCTCCTGGAAAGTACCGTCACTATGTTCCCAGGGATTTTTGTACATTAGCTATATGTGGTGAACACCAGAAAATCTTGCCTTCCCTCTGTGGCATAGGTATATTTTGAGTGATTTTCCCAAGGTGCCAGGGCAGAGGAGGAAGTTGAGTTAGTGTGTGTGCAAAATATCAGGGTGGTATCATGTACTGCAGACCTGTGATGGAGGTTGTATCTGGCTGGCTTAATATAAAAAAGCCACAGGCTGAGTGTTCTTGCAGACTGTCTGTCATTTCAGCTTTTTCCAAACGTGAAAGTGTGTGTGTGTGTGTCTTCTTCATGAACACTGACTCTCTGAGACAGAGTTCTGTGTTTACAGTTGATCAGTACTGCAAGGCATCTGCTGCGAATTTACCTGGGCATTGTTCTGCTCCCCAGCCTCTGCTCCAGGCATTTCTAATTTACCTGTTGGATTTTTAAGTTGGGAAAGAATGTGGCGCCTGCCAGCAAGAAGAGGCAGAGCAAGATCAGGTTTTTCCAAAGCAGCACAAGACTGGTTAGGACTTGGCCCATGCAGGACTTTGAGCTCAGTCTCACTTGTGCTGAGACTTTCTCTGTGTCTTGTGTCTACCAGGGGGTAATGCCTTGCATTTTCCTGCTTCTAGGCTTGGAAAAATAGATATTCCTTGAACAATACCTTGGCTCTGGGAGGTTTCCCAAGAAGTATTTCTGTCATAACATCTGTCTAGGGGATAAGCCAGCATCATTGGTGTCTTAGTTTGAAAACCAAGTGTCTGCTAAAGAAAGCAGGAGCTTCTTTTGAAATGAAAAATATAAGTCCACTCCCTCCAAATTATTCAATTTTGAAATTAAAGAGCTCTCAAGCAAAGACATGGGAATAAGAGTAACAGTTCTTTACTAGGAAAATTAAAATAAAATGCAGTACTACAAAAAAACCGCCAACGGAGTCAGGATACAACTTGACACCCTCTTGGTCAGGGTGTTGGTGGCAGTCTGATTAAATGGTGGCTGCAGTTCTCCTGGAGTGACAGATGTGGTTCTGTTGAAGCAGTGATCCTGTAGAAGGGTATGGTTTTCCTCTAAAGGTCCAGTGGTGGTGTAGATGGGTCCAGTCTTCTGGGAATCCAGTGCAGAAAGGCTGTCTGCAGTATTCCAAGGCTCAGATTATATCCAGGTAGGAATGCTTGGCTCCTCCTCCTGGGTGGAACATCTCCCAATGGGATTATGTAATTTCATCAGTCATGCAATGAGACTCACTGGCCCATTAACAGCAGATAACCCTCTGGAGGGAGGATGGGTGGTGGAAGAGATAAAGAACACTGCCTCACCTGGTTTTAACAGGTGGTAATAGAATACATACTTTTGGTTACATCTTGCATTGCAACCTAAGACAATTGGGAACAATTAGGATCAGTTGTTAGAGGGGGTGCAATGCATCTTCACTGAATATTCACTTGTTTTTCCAAGAGAGATCTCAATTGCACTGCAGTGTAACACATGCTGCTTGATAGGATAATAATGGGTTGGGATCTTTCCAGTTTTCTTTTGGGTGTCATTTTTCACTCTGAATTTCTGGTCTTTTATTAATTTCTTTCTTTGGAAGTGAAGAGGTTGTAGGCTGATGAGTCAGTACAGAAAGTTGTTGCTCACATACTCTTGTCTTGCAGTGGAAAAAGTTTATATTTAATTGGCTAAAATTGTCTTCCTAGTGGTCATATGTTGGGCAGCTTACAAGTGTTGTATTAGTAGATCTAGACACTTTAATTTGAGGAGTGGTGACACGTATCAGGCAAGGTGACAGCTGTGCCAGTGAGCCCTGTGTCCATGCATCAGTGAATTTCTTTTTGAAGCAGATAATTGCAAGGATTTTAAACAAAGAATGTAATCTTTAGCCTTTGACAGTCTCCATATCTCCACCAAAAGTTAATGCCACGGTTCTTACACTGTGATCGAGTATTGTAACTTTTCTATTATGTACTAGGTCTTCATGAGCTGTTTGATATTACTAATCCTAAATTAAATCTAAGCAGTATCATACTTGAAGCTGACTTGCATCTTCCTCTTTCAGTCTCTCTTTTATAAGGAATCAGTGGTAATGTGTAAAAGTTGGGCATGCACAGCTATTTTACTCTGTTAATTGAATTATGAAAAGCTTAAAAGTAAACCTTAGCACATCATCGTTAAAGCCTACTGATGTCTTACAAAGATGTTGCACTCGTAATATGGCAGTATATTACTTGTGTGCAGTGATAGCTCTAATTGGAAACCTAATAGGATACAAGAGATTTCTGTGACTATTACTAAAGATAATATATTTTTTAAGTCTGTGGGATTTTTTTATTAACAGTCCTTTGGGCCGAAGTGGAAATAAAATGTGAAATGTTGGAATATTTCTCATAGGTTCAGAGGGCTGTATTCAGGGCTAATCACACATCACATTTCTTGAGTGCTGAAGTGCTCTCTGTTGGCAGTTTTGGTGCTATAAATTCCAACAGTAAATCGGTGCAAATGAAGTTCAAGTACCTGTTCCCATTCAGTAGCTCCACCTTTAGGAGGGGAGGGAAGGGAGGATGATTGCCAGTGCATCTTGCAGTAATGACAGTGTGTCAGTAGGTTGCTAATAGGTACATAAAGAGGTGATTCCTTGAAGCAGTGGCTAAGGGTGCCCCAGAGAGTCCTTTTCAGTAAGTTTGTACAGTTAAGTTGGTGTCTTTCCAGAGGCAGAGCTTCCTGTCGAAATACAACACTTTTCCAGTCTAATGCACAAGTGGTGGCTGGAGAGTACTGCATGCCCAAATATATGGACCCGCATAGGACAGGGACAAGTCATTAAGGTGGAGTGGGATGCCAGGAGTGTTCAGGATGGAATGGCTTTTACTTTAATAGTCATCTTGAGCTGTGCAGGGTTTTGTGTTCTGGAGAGAAAAATCCTTCCCTTGTGGCTGGTGCATCATTTGCAGAGCATCTGTCTTCCTTTACTGCTTTCTTACACACTTTCCTTTCCCTAGAAGTATGCTTTTAGTCATAACTTCATGATTGTTGAATTATCTAGCACCAACATATTGTGAAATTTTATTACTAGATTAATCTGGGGTGGGGGGAAAAAAGTTTAGTTTGATAACAGAATTAATTCCCTTTGTCTCTCCTGATTCCCCTGCTGTGAAGAAACATGTTCACCAGTACTGGGAAGAGCAGGGGGGAAAAAAGTGTCTCTGATCACTCTTGTTATTATGACAATTTATGTTCTTCCAATTGTATTTCTGTTTGTAACATCGTTATTAACACTCAGTGATTGCTCTCATTCTCTGCATGTTAATCAAATACATATTGTCATGTGTATGTTTATTGTATTGCCTTCCATCTCAAGTAATACTGCTCTGTGATTATTATAATATGAAAGAGTCTGTTTTTTACCTTCTGTCCTAGAGCAGCCTTGTTAAAAGGAGGAAAGAAGAGCAAGGCTAGTTTTCATTGTATTAGGAATGTTAAGATCCATCCCCTTCAGAACAAGGGGAGAAGAGATTTCTGAAGCCATGGTACATCCATGACGGAAAAAGCTGTGTCAGCACCTCCCATTATGCAAAAGATTTTTCCAGCTCTGGCACCTTACAAACAAAATTCTACCATAGCAGTACAGAAGGGAAGAGGCAGCATTAATGGAGTCCTACACCATTAATGGCTTTATAGGTTGAGCTGTACTTAGAAATACTCAGTGAGACATGGCAGACTACCGAGTACAAGTGTCTGAGGGTATCAGTAAAACTAGTTTTACCAAGCAGACATTTGATCTCTGCAACACCTTTAGTTTGTACTGCTCGTAGTGAGCTGCTGGCAGGTTAGGCAGAATCTCAAATAAGCAAGAGCTAATTTGAGAAAGTGCTGTTTTAATTTGACACAGTGATTTTAATTCCTCCTAAAAAAAGCAGTTCCACAATACAAGCAATATCAACAGAGTAAGATCATGTGGCCTCATCTTAGAAACCAGTGCAGCAAAATTATAAAATGGCAGAAAATTTTGACATTTCAGAGTGTCATCATTAATTTGGCTTCCTTCAGTTGTACTGTGAGCCTTTGTTTAACAATAATGCAGAATATATTTTAATTTTAAAGAACTCACAAAATTAATAAAATTAACCTAGATCCTTAATTTATTTAGTATGGTCTTTAATATGGTACAGTTTATTTAAGACTGAGATGGAAGAGCCATTTCTGAAATACAGTAGGAAATTGTTCTTTGAAACTTAGCTCTTAGTTCTGGGCAATGCTGCTCTTGTAACTGTCAAGAGAGAGAAGATGGAAACTATACCCCACCCCTAGTTTCTCAGCTTTGCTGAACAGTCTGGAACACTGATAAGTTCAGGTAAGATCTCTTGGTGTTTGAAAGCATTCGGTCTTCTTTTAATCCCTGTCTCTACTTCAGGTGGTATATGAAAAGTAACTGAAATACTTCTTCCGTATCATACTTGAGGAATGTTAGAATTTGTATTTACTTGAGCTGTGGTAGTATTTCTAAATTATTTTGGTTTTTATCTCTTAGTGCTGGCCCCAAAGGTGATAACATCTATGAATGGAGATCAACCATTCTAGGACCTCCAGGTTCAGTCTATGAGGGAGGTGTTTTCTTCCTTGACATCACATTTACACCAGAATATCCCTTCAAGCCTCCAAAGGTAAGAGACCTGTAGCTAACATCTTAAGTCATGAGTGCTAAACATGAATAGCATGCAGTGTTAATGGAATGCAGCCCATTTGAACTCCACTCTTCTTAAGAACAAACTTAAGCTCATTTTAGACATTATAGGAGTTTCTATTAGCTTATGTTAACAGCTTTTCTAGTCCGCTCGGTAATTATTTTAGAGCTTGTTTTCTTTCTTCCTGCTTCTGTTTGTAAGAAGTCCTAAGCATTTAGTGCAAGCATTGGGACAGGACTGAGAAACTGAGAAGTAAATAAACTTGAGAAGGGGAGAAATGGTACAAATACTAATTTCTCAAACAACTGGGTTCTATAAGCATAAGTTACATGTGTTTTGGCCACCAAAGTAGTATTTAATTTTTCAGCTTTGTTGGACACTTGTGTTGTTCACCTATTTGTACAGTAACAAACGTTCTGTAGGTGTGTTATATTTGTGAAGCTCTTACGTTCCAATTGTTCCAGTGTTCTAAGGCAAATACCAGTGCAAGTGAATGTTATCCTGTGGTTCCAATATATAGCCACAGGAAAAGTGTTGGGTTACTAGAGGTGTTTGTGTATTCACTTGGTGTTTGTCTTGTATCTGAAAGCATTTATGTACTTGTTTAACTTTCTACTTAAAAGGGGTTTGATGAGATAAATGCCAATGGCTGTACCATCTTTCAGACTTCCGTCTAGTCTGCAAGAGAAGGACTTCTTCAGGCCATCAGTCCATGACAAGTCCATAACACAAGACAAATTAATACAAGCTTGCCAAATTAAGGAAACTGTTTGCCTGTTCTTGCTCACATAACTTCATGGTTTCTGATAGTACCAACAGGTCCTTAAAGTCTACCTCTGAGATAGGGCTCCAATTCACAAACAGCATGGTCTACCTTGGGACATCTCTAGTGCTTTTCTGCTGACATATTTCCATTTCTATTTGGAGATTCTCTGGCAACACAGATGGTTCTCATGTCAGAATTGAATTCAGTTTAGTTTTTTTTGTTTGGTTGGTTTTGGTGGGTTTTTTTGTTTAATTTGATGAACTTTTTTTGTCCAATCAGCTGTTTGCGATTTATTATGTTGTGAGCCCAGTAAGCATTTAAAGAGCAATCTTTGCTTTGCCATGTGTGCTTTGTTACACCTTGTCACTTTCTATGCTACAAGTCAGAAGCATTTATCAGCCAAGGCTTGTTCAGACTCATCATATACACCTGGAATGGTTTGGATTGGAAGGGGCCTTAAAGATCATCTAGTTCCAACTTCCTTACTGTGGGAAAGTATCCCTTCCACTAGACCATGTTGCTCAAAGCTCTATCCAACGTGGCCTTGAACATTTCCAGGGAGGGAGCATCCACAACTTTTCTGAGCAACCTGTTCCAGTGCCTTACCACAATACGGGATTTCTTTCTAATATCTCATCTAAATTAACCTTTTTTCATTTTAAGGCCATGACTCCTTGTATATGCCCTAGTAAAAAGTCCCTGTCCAGTTCTTGTGTGGGCTACTTTAGGTACCCTTTTAGGTACCCGTTTAGGTATTAGGAGGCTGCTCTAAGGTCTCTCTAGAACCCGCTCCTTCTCTAGGCTGAACAAGCCCAACTGTCTCAGCCTCTTCATAGGAGAGGTTCTCCAGCCTTTTAATTGTCTTGATGGTCCTCTTTTGGACTCGTTCCAACTGATCCATATCCTTCTCATGTTGGGGGCCCTGGAGTTAGATGCAGCACTCCAGGTGGGGTCTCACAAGTTCTTATGATTGCCAGATACAGGTGCAAGGACCTTGCACATGGCCTTGTTGAACTTCATAAGTTCACAGGCCCACTTCTCTCTGCTCTCCTAGCTACCTGGCCTTGCTTCCACTTTCTGTAGAGTTCCTTTGTGTGTTTTTGCCCAGGAGCTCCTTGTTCATCCATGCAGGGCCCTTCCCCTTCTCTGGTTTCCCAAAGCAAGTCCCATGGTCTAAGTAGCCAAACCCCTGGCTGTGGCACCAGTCCCATAACCACCAGTTGGTTTGCTAGATTTGAGTAGCCCTTTTGAACCCTTTCTCTTTGACCAGGAAGATTGATGAAAAAACTGCCCATGCTCCAAAGTACTTTCCTGTTACTCCCAGGACTGCCTTATTTGGCTTTAGTGTCTTTTCTGAGATGACGTGTGTCGCCAGTCTGAGAGCAGCAAAGTGGTGCTGTGAGGACACCTCAGTCTTTGGGAAGAAGTCTCTTCCTGCAGGTCCTTGCCATGGCAAGCTTTCCATTCTTCTGCATTATTGGCCCCCCTCCCTTTTCTGGGAGTTTCTGGCTCTTTGGCTGTAGATTGTGGGTCCAGTGTTCTAGTGTTTGGAACAACTGTCTAATTCCTCCTCAGCAGCCCTGATGTCACACAGGCTTCTCACTGCCTCCTACAGCTCAGCCAGCTGCTGCAGGAGGTCCCCCACCTGGGCAACACCTTTTGCAGGCAGGCCTGCTGGCTGCCCAGCCCAGGGAAAGGGCTCGGCACAGTCTGCAGTCTGAGGTCCGCTCAGCAGCCTCTCCCTTCAGCAGTTCCATCTGGGTAGAAGTATCTGCCACTGGTGGGGTAGATAATGCAAATGCCCCAGCCAGAGTTGCAGCCCTTGCTCTCAGATGTGTTCCCACCATGCTGCTTTGAGGATCAAGTAGGAGGCCTTGCAAGACCATACTGTAACTACCAGAGCTGCTGAGACAGCAGTGCTTTCTGCTTGGTGCTTCTGAGATCCCTTTATCTTTGGATCTAAACCCTCACCAGGTTTAGATGAAAGAAGCGGGGAATTAAAACACCAAACAGATAGGCACTGCTTACTGAGGCCTTAATAGAGAGTTTAGTAGCAGTTTCATTTAAATGGAGTCTTTTATTTAGAAAAGTCCAAGTTGGTTTACAAACCTCATGTATGCATGGAAGTAAAATGCATGTAGCTTCAGTCTCATTGAGATGGTATGTAAGAGAAAGCATGGTGGTGCTATAATTGAACTCACTTTTTCTACTAGGGCACTTCAGGTTGAAATTAAGAACCTTCCTTTGAGAACTAAAGCTGCTCCTGTATTAAAATTGACACTAGTATTAATCAATGCTTATGTGGAAAATATGATTATCATATCGCTCCTGCTTTGTTCCTGCTATTTCGTTGATTTCAGACTGTCCAACTACTTGCAGTAATGAGTAAATACTGTCGGTGGATCATGTTTAGGTGGTAGGCTAATGTAATTAAAGTTGCCTTCTTATAAGTGTCTTTTAGGGCAAGAAATAAAGAAACAGCTAGTTGAAACAAAACCCAGTGTTTTTGTTTATACCATCAAAGTATATCTCTTTAATGATAAACACTCACAGAACAGTAATTTTAAAATAGAGTGTCATTTTAAAAGCCTTCATGTCTGAAAAGATGAAGTTCTGTAAGGAAAAAGGACTAGTAACCCTTGAATCTTCCTTGGCCCTGTAAGACCAGTAGAAGAAAACCTCTTTGAGTTTTTTACCTCTTTGGTAACTCCAGTGAGGACAGTTCCTGCTGTGGCGGGCTGCCCAATGGTGGAGTGCTTGTAGTTGAACACATTTCATAACCTGAAAATGAAATGTCATTAGAGGATTTGCTTGAATAAAATTAGGTGGAAATGGTCATCCTGGCAAGCTTCCAAGCCCTTAGGAATATGTGTGAGAAAAGATGTTGAGGCATAAACACTGATAAATGCTGTGTGATTGATGAGCATCTTGGAGATATGTGATGAAGGATATACAGGTGTAGACCTTGAGGTCTAGCTCCAGATGAGGGTTTGATTCAGTGTGTTGGAGCAAATGTTTTTGGAGAGGATGTTGCTGTAGGAGAGCCAAAAGACTATACTAGAAGTGATATTTAGATTCCTGTGAGGATATTAAGAGGGTCTGCACTACTGTGCTTGAGGTTGGAGAAATGAAAGATTTTAAATTTGACTTGGAAATGTGTTGCACAATACAAGGAACTTCAGTGGGAGAAATCTGATACAGGGATGAATGCTCTCTTTCATGTCCTAAATATGTATAATGGAGTTCTTTTGCATTTAATTGAGCATTCTATACAACACCTTGAAGATGTTGGCGTTAATATGTTCTCTGCTTTTTATGTTTTCTCATTTTGTGTAGTATTCTGGTTTTGCCTGTGTTTCAGATAGCAAATGAGTCAGGCACGTGCTGGGTGTGCCTGGATTTAGAAGAATCCGACAAACAAGTATAATTAGAATTTAAGAGTTCAGTATTTGTACTATTACAATGGACATTTTCCCAAGAGTTACATTATAGTTGGTTTAGATTTCATTTACTGAGGTGAAAACAGTAGCTTGTGTTGACCTGGTGTGTGTGCTTTGATCATTTGTATTAATAACCTCTGACCACTTCCTTCCACCCACTCCTATTCTGCTGCTTGTGTAAATTAACCTCTGCTATCACTTCAGGGTAAGGTTGAGATTAGCTTCTTTTATGTCTTTTCAAAAGCTGTGCTTAACTCCATGTAGTTACTGCATTAATGTAATCTCAGGTGGGACATTTCCAAAGGATTGTTCAATTACACTGTATTTTCCTGCTATTCCACATGCTGTTCTCTTCACTACCTTCTAAGTAACTCAGTTTCTTTTGATTTTGGTCTGAATGTACTAGGTTTTGGTGAGATTTTTTTTTCCTCTTTAGGGTGTAATGAGCATTTACTTTAAATATTTTTGTATGTTTTCAAGTGGACCTCCAATTTCTCCCTCTTGCAGTTCCATTTGGTTTCCCTGCATAGCTGGCTTTTGTGCCATCAGCAAAAATTGTAAATGGCAAACAGCTGGACTACATGTGTCTAACACCATCCTAGTTCTGAGTTGCTGCTAAAGTGAAAACAAATTTAGAGTTTTTTCACAGTGCTTGGTAGAATTCCTCTAGCTGCAGGAAACTGCTTTTAGTGCCATGGATATATCCCTTAAGGATTATATGTTAAGGTGTGTTAAGGAACCAGGCTGTTCTGCAAGTATGTGAGAGTCTTCCTTCATTTTCACTTTCCCCTTCTTCATGAAAAATAATTTAAAATTAAACTTACTCTTAAAGGTGAGCAGCATTCATGCTTTGTTATCAGTTATTAGTCAAGTGGACTGAGAGACTGTCTACAGAGTATTTAGCTTTTGTGCTGAGAATCAAGATTAACAACTTTCTGTCTTCACAAATTAGAACTGTTGACCTATGTTAATTTGGGCCTTATTGTATCAGCTTGGAAATACTCCATGCTTACTCTACTTCTGGAAGTGTTCAAGCTGTCAAAATTGTTACCTCGTTTACAGTTAGAAACCTTGGAAAGAGGCCAGGTGCAGGTCAAACACAGAAATACCGATCAAGCAGCAGGGCTGGGCTGAGGGCTGCTCAGGAACCCAAGGCAGAGCCGTTGCCAGCAGCTGCAAATGCCACGAAGGTGTTTTGCCCTGAACAGCGTGGGCTGGGGCAGGTAAGCAGAGGCAGATACACCCTCTGCTCAGGCTGGTGCACATGGACTTCCATGTGACTGCAGGGAGTAATTGCTGCCTTTCCTCCGAAGATTAGATGATCTGGGAAACAAAGGTCATTTAAGTTTCTTGTCTGCTGTACCTCTAAGGCTCCCTAGGTAGAAAGCATCAGGAGTTCTTGGTTTTGGAGTGGCAGCTTGTTGCAGAAAGTGTGGGAGGGTAACACATCTCTGCTCTCTCGCAGTCATTTTGCTATTTCCCTTATAATGTGCAAACGTGCAGGGATTCGGGGTTTCCTTTGTTTGCTTCCTGTTTTAAATCCACAATCCAAGCAGCTGACAAGAAATAAAGCATAAAATCTCCCCAAGCATGTAGTGTGGGTGTCTCCTGTGTGACAAGTAACCGCTTTTGGAAGTCCAGAAATAGCCCATGTGCTCTGTGCATTGGGAGCATTCTTGGAAACACTGCACGGATTCAGTGCACAGGGACATGCCAGTCACCAGGGTTCTGTAGCTGTGACACCCCACCCTGTGCCTGCTCCACAAGCCTGTGAGAGGGAGGGTCACAGGAAAATTTTTTGCATCAGAAAGGCAGTAGAAAAAATGAGGATTGACTGGCAAGTTTTATGAGTGGGCTGGTCCCATCTCAAGAGAAAGCACTAGTGTGTTCTTGTCATACCACACGCTTACCAAGTGTGTTTTGCAAATTCTCTTGTGACCTATAAACAGACAATAAAATTTCTAGGTGTGGATAGCTGACAAATTTGGAGGATTTAGGACACGAACCCACCAGACTTTATTCATGTGCATAATCCGAATCCGTGCAAATTGCACCAAATTTGTTGTCACTGTTCACTCAGTGAGTCGGGGCAGGGCCTCTCTGCAGGTCCCATGGCGTTCTGAGAACGGCTCCTGCTGCTTGTGTTTCCCTTTCGGGTAACTTCTGTGGCAACCTGCCACAGAAAGCTCATGAAAATAAGTAAATCTAACTAATTTCCCCCATTGCTGAGCCTCTTAGAAGTGGAAGAAGATGGAAGCTGTGATTCCAATTGCCTTGGCCTGTCTGGAAGATTTTACAAATCCTTGGGAGTCCAGAAGGAGAAAAATGCTGGTGTTAGACCCCGGGTCATTTTGTCATTGGGAACAAAAAACAAATTAAAAAAAAATAAAATATTTTAAACCCACCACAACCTGGGTTTTGCGTAGAAGTTGGCTCCTGAGACTTACTCGGTTTTTGTTTTAAATCCGGCTCTTTTTTGTTTGGCCGCGAGAGGGCGGCGGCGGCCCGGGGAGCCCGGCGTGGGTCAGGCCGGGAGCCGGCTGGGCCGGCGCGCCCGGGCGCTGCTTCGCTCCCTGGCTTGGAGCTCCTGCCCTGTCCCTCCCCACAGCCTGCGGCACCCCGGCACACCCGCTCACACCCCTCTCTTGCAGGTAACGTTCCGGACAAGGATCTACCACTGTAACATTAACAGCCAAGGCGTCATCTGCCTGGACATTTTAAAAGACAACTGGAGTCCAGCGTTAACCATTTCTAAAGTTCTCCTCTCCATCTGCTCCCTCCTCACAGACTGTAACCCCGGTAAGTCCACCTGCCGCCTTGCATTCCTGCCAGCACCTAAATAACGTGGCCCTCCTCATTCCATTGGTATTGGCCAGCTCAGCTCCTGCCTCCGGTGGAGAACATTTCCCTCTCCAGGGCAGTCAGAGAGGGGCTGGAGCTGGTGGAGGGGGATATCCCCTACCAGCCTGCTCTTCACTGCTCCTCAGGCTGACCACCCATGGGGAAACAAGCGATCCTTCTGCACATGAAAATCCTTCCCTTTCCAAACACAGTCTTCACTGGTCTGCAGGGCTACAGTAATTCAGTAACAGAGCTTGAAGAGCCACATACAGTTCTGAAAACAGGGGATTGACCTTTTACTTTCCATCATCCATTTAAAAGTGACCAGCTATGCCGCAAGTGGTCATCACTGCTGCTCTAACCCACCCACTGTCCACACGAGTAAAGAGGAATATGTCTTCATGTCTAAAGTCATTTTACAGACTGCATTTTTGTATGTCTGAAGAGGAGAGAAAGGCGAGATTTAACAGTGTACTAAAATTGTTGTACTAAACCCCTTCTTGAGATTTTGTCTTTCCTAGAAGGCAGCTTTACTTTGTTACAAGTACACTTAGCATGAGTATCTCAGTCACCCTTAGAGGGAATAAAATAAACCTGAAATGCATGAATTGGTGAAAACCTTCAGTAATGCAAAATATGACTGATTGTTGTGTCTTAAACTTCTTAAAACTTTATTGGCATTTCACTTTATTAAATTACAGATTAGTACATCACCATAAATACATAAAATCAGAGAAGATACAGATCATCAACTCAGTATGTTTAGGCTGTTACAGTGTACCTTGCCTGTGTGTTTGCCTTGTTTGAAATTCACACTTTATCTTTATTTAAAAGTTTTTATTTGGTAACTTGTCTGAAATAAGCGGTGTGTTTCCTTTTCAGCTGACCCCCTGGTTGGAAGCATTGCCACTCAGTATATGACTAACAGAGCAGAGCATGACAGAATGGCCAGACAATGGACCAAAAGATACGCTACATAAATTGGATTTTCTTCAAACTCTTACATTATTTGTCTGTGATGGAAAGAGCTGCTTATGATTTTGAAGGGGTGGGGGGAGGGAGGGTGCTGGTAAAGAGTAGGGTATTTCTATAACAGATTTTATTCAGTCTTTTATTTCCTAAGATTTTGTTGTTGTAACTTAAGGTATCTTGCTACAGTAGACAGCTAGGATTTGGAATAGCATACTTTAAGACTGTAATTAGTTCAGCAATATTAGCTCACATATAGTACCGAGAAGAATGTAAACTTCTTAGACTTCTTTGGTTTTCAGTTTGCTTGCAATATGTAAAAGATTAAAACAGCTTAATTTTGTACAGGTACATAGGTTGACATTTATGTAAAAGTCCTTTCAAGACTCTACACACTGTTTTTGCTTTTTGTTTGTTTGGGTTTGAGGGATTTATTTTGTTCTAGGTTGAGCTTCTTTTTTTCTTTTTTTTTTTTTTTGTAAAAAGATGTTGGGGTTGTTTTTCCCTATGGAGGGTACATTGGTATTTAACAAATCCTTTTTAAAGACTGTCATCTCATGATCTGTGATATGGAGAGGTGTATATATCGCCTCATATATGAAATGAGAAGTAGTTAATGTATTATTTTATAAGCCAATCTATCTTTGTGAAAAGAATAAAGGGTTTAATCAGGACTTACGGTAACCTGTAGTGAAATACCTTAAGCTGTTTAACTGTAAGGTGTGGAATAGGAGTCACTCAGTGGATTGGTTGTATGTTGTGGGCTACTTAAGTCTGCATTTGTTACTGTGCTAATAAAAAGATGTTTAAAAAAAAAAAAAAAGAAGAAGAAAAGATTGCTGCTTAGTCCCTTGCTTTGTCATTTTGCTAGAATAGCGTCTCTGTACGCTTCAGAGGATTTATGCTGTGGTTAAGGACAAGGGAGATCTGCAGGTGAGTGCACTGACTGCTGCTATTTTAGGAAGACAATTCTAGACAAGCATACAATGAATGACAGCATAAGACCTTCACAAGTGTTCACTAAGTGTTGTGCAGGTACCTGGCCATGAGAAGGTAACTTGCCACAGAGTCCATGATAGTTAATTTTTAGCTTAAGTTTTCACAGCCTTGCCTCTGCAGGACTGGCATGTTGTTTGAAAGTACAACCAGAAAAGTGTAAGCTATCTGGAAGGGAAAGAGGCCAGAAGCAAAAGGAAGAAAAGAATGTCTTGATGTTTTTCTGATGGAGTGGTCTATCCACACTTGGAAGAGAAGGAATGGTGCCCCGGTAAGGTAGCAGACAACACCGTAAAGGCGTATCTGTAGAGCCTTTAACTACCTATAAAGATTATCTCCTAGAGACATAGTGTTTACAGTGAGGTGTGTAGCAAGAGGGCAGTAAATTGTGGATATGGCATTTGTAACCACTCCCTTAAGGTACAGGCCGGAAGCACAGATTCATTTTCACACGGCGAGCGCTTCACCTTGCGACATTCTTGTGAGTGCTGGGTGGTCATCCTGTGCTCTCAGATTTGGAGCAAAAAAAATGCTGTATGTATTTAATTTGAGTACCTCTCATCCTATCTAGATACAGAGCAAATCTAAATTGGGCCAAAGTGGTCTGTTAATTAAAGGTGTCCTTTCCTTTGCTGGGTGGCTGTGGATAGTAGCACCTTACCCTCATCAGTTGAACTGCTGTCATTTGACACAGTGCCTGTTTTGGTGTGTGAGTTCCCTCAGCTGTTTGCCTGTTTGGTATCTACATAACACTAGGAGCATCTCTGGTAATCTTTCCCTCTCTGCTACTAAGTAAACGGCTTAATCTCTCAGTAGGTTTTTGCCAGCTTCTTGCTTTGTGCCACCAGGACATGTCAAGTTAACTGTTGTAACTAGCGGGGGCAACTGATTTGTACAATGTTTATTCAGCAGGGTAGAGGCTTTAGAGGAAGAGAGAAAGATGGTTTAATTTCCTAAATAGTTTTTCTTCTTTATAATAATTTTTCTCCATTATCTTGTGAAAGGACTCTAGTTTTGCGGCAGGTAAATAATCCCAGTGACCTAGAACAGGGTTTGAGTCAGTGGAACAGTAAGAAAAAAATACATGTTCTGCCCATTAGCTATCACATTATACTCTGTACTTTGCCTATTAGCCCTGTGTAAAACTCTACTACAGCAAGTTTCATTTTTACTCAGTAACCGCCACTGTGTGCATATCATTTGTAGACGAGACACCAGATTTTCCATCACTTGTCAGTAAAACACTATAATATTTAGAAAAAACATCAGAATAAGTTTATGAAAGAAAACAGTGGGTGGTGGTTTTTTTTTTATCTGAGTGCCTCAAATAATCTAAACTCTAAATTTAGCCAAATCAAAGAAAATGTGTTTGCCTTTATGTAGCCTATTTGGAAAAATGGCCTTAGTCATTTAGAAGATCTGTTTCTCTTGCCTGTCTTAAAACAGTCAGGTCCTGGGAGTCCAGTGGAGCAAGCGAGCAAGCTACACTTGCACTGCACAGCTCTGGCAGCCTACAGGTGACATCAGTCTTGGCAGAAAAATTGGCACCAAGTCTGCAGCATGCAGAGCTGGACAGGAACCAGTCATCCCCATTCTTTCCATCTCCAGGCATTTTAAGTTCATTCAGACTTGTCAACATGCACTCCTTTGGCTCAAGGGTCAGCTTTAGTGATGTGCTATTAGTAGACATCTTCATTTATTTTGATTGCTTCAAGGCTGATGGAAGTCCCTTCCAGAAAAAGGTTTCTGCAGAGCTGAAGAAGAGGAACATGACCCACTCCTTGGTAAGAGGTTGCAGTGAGGAGGTGAACCACTGCTGGTCTCAAGTCACCTCCACACAAGCAGATACTGAATCTTCTGGGTAGGGAGAATCCCGGAGTACACTTACATGTGTGTTCAGTAGGAAATGAGTGAGGAGGGAGTGTCATCCTGCAGCACTGCTGGGGACAATGACTATTACTGGCCAGATAGGGGGAGGTCGTGCTATAGTGCTTACTCAGCTGCAGTGTTGCAATGGAAACAATTTTATGTTCCTAGCAGGGCATTACAAAAGCTTGCTCATTCATAATTACTCTCTTATCTTACTCCTTGGCCACAGCAATTCAAGCTATATTGAGCAAAGCGCATAAACAGTTTCGTCTACCTCCATTATAATGGTAGGGATTCCTGCTTAATTTTCAGTGAAGTGTACTGCTGCTCTGACATTAATAATGCTGACAGACTTTAGTAGTGCTGACAGGCTTTATTAATCAGTATTCAGGAAGAGCAATACTATGAGCTTAATTGTGATCATTAAGCACACAATTTAGCAGTTATGATATGACAGTGCAAATATTGCTTGTGGTTTTGCTGATTCACAGTGAAATTCTTAGTATTTGTTCAAAAGAGGATTAATTTAGTGGAAAATGCAGAAACTGGGTACTTCACTCCCTGCTCTTGCCTTCAAATATAAAGAAAAGCTAGCATCAATTAGTACAGCAGGTTGTTAGATGCCAAAAATCTGGCCCCTGTCTCTGGGAGAAGTGGCTCATTCTGTCCCTCTATATATCCCCTTCAGTTCAGTTTACTGCCAGGCTGGCCTGGGACAGCAGAGTCCTTCAGCACACAGGTTTGCCAGTGTTGAGGCAAACACAGCACGTGCAGTTGTGCTCCTGCAGCCGGACCATGTGCAGCGCATGAAGACCGGGGCCGTTTGTACAGGTATTTCTGGGCATTTGCCACAGGGATGTCTGCAAAAAGGCAGCCTCCTACCCTCCTCAGCCCCCACCTGCACAGTCATACAGCACTTCGTACCAGGAGGGCAGATTGCTGCAGCTTACCTCAGCAGCCAGGTAAGTGTGCCCTAAGCAGAGCCCAGCAATACATCCTGCATACAAAATTGACCCATATAATCCTCAGTAAAATTACCACCTATGAGAATGTGACTGATTTGTAGTGGACATGCTGGAGCAAACCCATAGCTGTGTTGTCCTTAGGTTATTCAATCAATGAGTGCTCCGAGAGCTTTTCTGGTTTCTACAAATGAATTCCTGACATGAAAGCACTGCTTACTAGACTTTGTTGACAAGGTTCATGTTGGGGTATTTCCCAGAAGATGTGGGGGGTGTTTTTTTCTTCCAGACACTAGCAAAACATCACTGGCTAAATCTGGTAACTGTTCCTCCCACTCCATACCCTTTCCTACAGCAAGACACTGATCTCAGTCTCTTGCAGCATCAAAAAGCCCTATGGCCCTGTTTAAGGTCAAGGTAAAAGAACTGTTGCCATTTCAAATATATCACCTTTCCAAACTGAATGCTTTATTGCAGCTAATACTTTTTGTGACTACAGGCTATAGATCTGCAGGGCTATTATATACTGGTAAGCTTGTTGATTTGTCCCTCAACATGGCTGTATCCAGGCATAGTAAGAGGCCCTGCTAAGAGGTATCCATCTATCCCTTCCTCCTCCATAATCCTGGCAGCAAAATAACTGCTCTCATAAAGTGCTTTTTGAGGCTTTTACCAACAGCGGCTTTTTCAAGCCAAGTCTGTGAGAAGGAAGGATGCCTCTTAGCTATAAGCTTGCTGATTTTATTGCTGAATGATATTATTGCTTTAAATGAAACTGCAAGGAGCAAATGGCACAAAAAGGACTTAGACTGTGACCTGGCAGCAGGAGACAATGCTAAGCTAGTCTAGTTTTCACAGTTATTCCCTTTGCTCTTCCTTCCAGGCAAGGGAAATGTTGATTTGTTCTGGGCCTGGGACAGTTTGCTAGCTAAGAAGGTGAAGGGTTCAAGCAGTGTTTTCCGATCTGTCACAGTCACTTCCCACAGTCTCACTTTCTCAGCCCTTGCCCATTGCTGTGCTGCTTCTGTTTCCACTTGCCTTTGGTCCAGGAGGTCAGTTTTGTTTCCCAAGACAATAACTGCAACCTACAAACCAAACAAGAGGGTGAGCTTTATACCAAAACCATCCACCAGCCACAATCCTTTTAAGCAGCAGGCAAGTAGCAACACAGTTCAGACTTGTTCTGTAACTAAGCACTGGCACAAGGTAAGTTGCCTGTAGTTTGGAAGATCAGGGTCTGGGATTTGAATTAGCCTCATCTACTTATGGGTTGGAAGTTTGTTTTAATCATAGGATATGCAGGACTTCCCCTTCTTGCCATCCCGCTCCCCGCCCTCAGTGATTGCTTGAAGGGAAACAATACCCAAGAGATCCAAAGTTAAACAGCCCTATTCTCCACTTACTTGGGAATTGAGCTGCCCTAGACAAATGATAAGAGCATGATATCCGAGTAGGTCTAAGCAGCAGATGCTGGAGAGATGAAAAAATGCACAGGAGCAGAGAAAGCCTGGATCCCACAGTGGTGGATTTTGTCCTGTTTGTGTCTTTCCCAAGCCCCATCCCGCAATATAAATAAAGCCAATCGTGCCAGCAGACCAGGCAGGCTGGGCTACGGGGCCCCTCTCCCAGCTCAGCCCTGCCAGCTGCCCAGCCCCAGGCACCAAGAGCCACCCAAAGGACTGAAGGGGACAGTCTGCTGAGAGTGGCAGATAAGCACCAGCAGCGTCCTCGGGGGAGCAGTTCCAAGAGCAGCGGGTTAGCTAAGGAGAGCAGCACAGCGGTATCAACTCAGATCTGCAGTTGTAGGGATCCATCAAGTGACTTGTGTATCACCCAGACAGTCCAGTGTGGCTGAGCTCAGTAAGTACATGCAGCCTTCACAGTGCTTCAGCTCTAGGAAGTGCCAAAGGCAGTGCTGGCCACATGAAGCCACTGCTCCTCCTTGTTTCAACTGTTTTCTAAAAATGTTTTACCAGCACCAGCTCTTAAGGGAAACCATGACTATATTTTTAGTTCAAGGTCCTTAGTCAAACTCTGTTTTCATCTCTACACTAGTGGTTTGACAAAGATCAAGTGATAAAGTCCTCTCTTGCTGATGATTTGTGGGGTTTGCTGTGGCCACACCTGCTTGCTCTTTCCTGTTCATCAGGCTAACTCCAGGATGCCTTCTACTTCTTTCCAGCTAGAGATGTTTGTCCTGCTCCTTTGAGGTCTGAGGCTTCCTTTCTCTTCTACAGTAGGCCAGGGTGTTTGGAAAAATGCTGCTTAGGGGTTTTTTCCCCCTCTGTGAGGGCTTTGAAAGCATGTGCATTTACCACATGCTCCAGCTGAATTTTAGCTATGGCAAAGCACTGTCAGTATAAGAGAACAAAACCTCTATTTAGTATAAAATTTGGCCAGGCTTTAAGGTGCGTGCTGGAGAGCCCCCACAGCCAGCAGAGGCAAGAAACCAGCCATCAGTGCTTTCTGTCATCTGCCACACAACAGGGGACTGTGCCACTCAACGAGTTGAAATTCTGCCAGCTCTGAAGCACCATGTGTGGAGATACATCCCCAATTCAGTAAAGAATTCATTCTAGTGGAGCCCAGGCTTTAAGTTACAGAATCATTAATCTGCTGATTAACAATTACCTTAAGGAAGGACTCCTGATCTCTCCTTGTACACCTGAAAGCCTATTTTTTAATGGAAATCACAGGAATTAAAGCTATTTTATCCATCTGACTGTGGCCACTGCTTTTTTAACTGTTATCCTCAGTCAAAATCACAATTTTAAGCTCTCCAAAAGGATAAGCAAAGTGGCTGTTTTCTAAAATACCTGCATGCAATGAGAGAGAAGAATTCTGACAGGTTACACAGATGATCAGGACACAGATCCTGTTGGGGCTGTAACTCCCTCTCTGCATTACAACATGGTGTATAGTACCAAATCAAGGCCTTCATAAAGCACAGTGCCTGGAAAAAAATTCCTGCTTGTCCACCTTTCCTTGCCCTGCAGGGGAGTTATGCTTGACTCCTGTATCCCTGATATACGTGACAGCCTGCAGCTCACACCAGCCCTACCACCTAACATACTTCTGTGACTGCACATTCATCTGCCGTCAAACTTGAGCCTGCCTTCCTCCACCACCCTGTGTGCTGTCAGTACAAACCAAGCTACATTTTTGCAAAGTCTCTCCCTACCATTATCCAATTAATTCTTCATGCTTTTTTTTTTTTTTTCTTTTAAACAGCATAGAACAGGCATTTGGAAAGCTGTAGGCTAAAGACATTAAACAGGGAAAACTACTCCAGAATATAGATACTGTAGGAAAAGCCGTAATGCTAATGCCACATGCAAGTTATATTTGTTTAGCTAAGCTGGAACACTGTCAGCTGAAAACACTAGCTGCTTTCTAAGGGAAAATAGAGCAGTCATTTCACACAATTGAATTGATTCAATATGGTTGTTAAAATACATTAAAGCTGCTTTGCCAATTGACTAATGTCTGGGAGACCCATTGTCAATTACACTAGTTTGTAAGCCATCAAGTACATGAATACAAAACAAACAAAGATAATGCCCTTCGTTATATTATTCTATGCACTTGACTTCCCCTGTACAATATCTAAAAAAACATGAGCTGCACTGCTGTAGACCATATGTTTTATTAGTCATAAGTGTCCTGGCTGGTGCATTCAGCTGACTGAATTTTAGCTGTAGTAGAGGAAATAAGGAGGAAAAAAAAAAAAAAAAAAAGCATTATTTTGCATGACCTGCATGGCATGTGAATTAAGCTTCCCTGGCATGTGAAGGCCTCCTTTTTGCTGGGTCACCCAAGGCTGTGGGTACATTCATTTTCCTGAGCTCTGCAACCTTAACTTCCTATCACTGATACAGCATTTAGCCAATCATGCATGTACCTCCTTTTTGTCTCTGAAGAGGTCGATCTCCTTTTTGAGCAGTTCGACTCTTTGGAAGGCTTCGAGGCTGGTCACGGCGTACACCAGGACAAAGCCGTCAGCCACAGAGAAATAGTGCTTGGGCAATTCCACACCCTCCTGCAGACCCCTGGTGTCATAGAGCCGCAACTGTTCCTTCACGCCTCGGTCTGTCTCCACCGATGCCAAATACACATCTTCCATTGTGGCACCCTCTTCTAAGCCTGTTCAAAAACAAGCAGGAATGTTCCACTGCTGTAAATACAGCCTCACTATAAGAATTCCTTGCAGTGCAGCACAATTTTGCCCCACAGGAGCTTTCAAGAGTGACTTGACCAGGCCTTGACCTTGCCTGGCATCTCCATGGAGGGCTGTATTCACAGATGACTGCACTAGCTATTTCCAATAGTGACACTGTAAATACATTAATATGTAAGCACATGATTATGCCTGTAAAATTAATCTATACAACATGCACATTTAGAATAGGATAAAATATATGCTCTCTTCCCAAGTTTTCCAGACTCTGGCCACCCAGTTGTACCAGTTCTGTGCCAAACATGCTGCAAAACGAGCCTGTCCAAACATACCCTTTTGGAACAACAGCCAGGGAACACCAGATAGTCAAGTACTAACATCTTAAGCCTACTTCTTTGCCTCATAATGAGCTGGATCATACTGCAGAGGCAGAAGACAAAGGAATAATAAAATTCCAGAAGACTGCTGGAATAATAATAATTCTGGAAATGAATGTCTATTGGTGGTACAACTAACCAATATGTGAAATTAAGCCAGAAAGGGAAGGGGATGTTTGCAGGCAAACAAGTTGCATACTGTATTTACTCAAATACACAGTGAGCTTTTTCCATCCCCTAGGGATTTAAAATTACTCAGATTTGCTAATAGGAACAAGTTAATTTACTTGTACCTTGAAAGGTAAGAGCATGCACAAGGTAACAAGCTTTCATATATCACCTGTTCCACCCTGACTATCTGCATACTGGCCCTCCTTCCCTCCTCCTCTCCACACAGGAAATGTGAAGTAATTCAAGGCAGCTTGCTTTGAACTAATTAAAATTATTTTTCCTAAGCCAAACCTGAAAACACATAAATCACCTTGGCTTTGTGTTCCTCCTGGATGCAGGTGCATAAGGTTACAGGTCAAAACAATCTATGTCTAGTGTAGCTGGGCCACTCTCAGAGTTGGTTTTAAGTATTCATATAAACCCTCTGCAACCCACATTTTTGCCTCCACTGCATTCCTATATACAATTGTTTGCTGTTGCAGGACTACAGTAATGAGTTCTGCTTTATTCTCTTTGTCTGCCAAAAAGGGACCATTTTAGTGTATTGTTTAAGAAAACACAAGGGATTATCTGGCCTATGAAAATAAGGATTTTGCTATATTCAGTGACACTATTCAAAACACTTCACATTGACAAACAAGCTAAAGCATTCCACCCACGCTGCTGGTTTCCCGTGATGTATGCAGCATTCCTGTGCAGGAAAGTGGCACAAGCTGTTCTTTTTGCCCCTCTCTGTGCAGTCTTCATAGATCAAACTCTTATTAGGTTTCCAATGATTTGATTTATCTTGCTTCCAAATATAGCCACGCTAATGTGTGGGAGCAAAACTAAGAACAGAAGGACAAAGCAAAGGTTAATAACAAGAGGAAGCACAAATGCATCCTGTGTGATTGTAGAATGTGTTAAAGGAGCATTTTTAAAGACTGAGGTAGTAACAAATCCCTTTCTGGATACAGCACTGTTGTTTAGACACAGCACTACTCTTGCTCTGCCTCGTTGTATTGTACAGACAGTTCAAGGAAATATCTGCCATCAGTAAACACGGCTTTGGCAAGATGGAAGGAACCATAAGTACCTAAATTTTCTTCTTAAAAACCAACAAATAATATTGTACAGTTTTTCATCCCCTAAATGCTACACTGTAATTCAACAGCCTCTAATATATCCAGCTTACCCTGTGACAATCTCTTCCTAATGGCATTAAAAGCAGCAGAGAAAAGTATGTCTTTCAACATCCTATTTAAAAACTAAGAGGAAAATTTAAGACCTGGGACTTAACTCAGCAGAATAGAGCAACAAATTTTGATGTGAAGTGGGACGGGCACGTAGGAGGGAGTTGAAATTTATGCACCAGTATCAGATTCCAGAGGTGAAATGTCACCTACATGCACTGGTGGAGAGAGTATATGCAAGTAGTTTCCTAAGTAAACATAGATAATTTTTAGAAATACCTGTGTCACCTTATTCTAGGCCCTGTTCCTAAAGCCCAGACCACGTAACAGCCACCTCTTGCTGACAATGATGTTTACATTTGTTAGTAGCATCCCATTCAAACACTTCCTAGGTCTCCATTCAAACAAGAGTCAGGTAGGTTGTTGTAGAACAACACTAGTCAGTGCCCTAGAAAGGTGCTGGCACCATTCCATCCTCCTTGCTGCAAAGATCCTGATTCTCTTTCCCTTCACTGGCATGCCCAGGCATCCTTCCACCATCTCTGCTTGGGTGGGCACGAGCAGCTTGTGTTGGGAAGATCTTGTCCTGCAGATTGCTGCCAGCTTGAGTAGTTTTTCCATGGAGCAGAGCACTACCGTGGGCCAGCCCTCAGGTTCACAAGTTAGAGAGGTGAAGGGGAACTAACAAGGTAGTGCACAATGTCACAGTTCCTTTGAAAACAAAAAAATCTTAAAAGGCTGGAGAGGGGGAGGATGAATAGACAGAAGTGATGCCACTCTTTAGCACCTCCTTAGCTGGTGCAAATCTTGGGAGAGGCAGAAAGGTCTTTGTTTTTTACCAACTGCTGCCACAGAGGAACTGCAACGGGAAGCTTCAGTCATAAATTGGGTGTTGTTACAACCCCTTGTGGCTTCCCAACGAGGAAAATAAAAGGCTCAATATACTAATGAATACTGCACACTCAGTCTAGGCATAGTAGATAGATTGCAAATACCTGAGTAAATCAAAATTTCAAGAGGGATGGAATTTCAAAAGTTCCTAGCTGGATCTTGAACATTAATGCAGTACAAATTTTTTGTCTTCTTGAGTACTTTTGAAGATCTCCTGTGTAATCTCTTTTTCCCCTTTTCCAGAGGAATTCAGCAAAGAGCTCCTAAAAGCTGCTATTTCTTACATTTGTAAACTGCAGAACAACAGGCTTTTCTTATTTAGATCTCAAAGGACAGTGTATCAGAGGATCCCTGACTTGGGAAAGAGCTGGACAAACCTCAAGAAGAGCTGATCTGTTTAGATTTAACTGCTAGGGAAGTACTGGTCCCACAACAAATAGCCAGGCTGTGACCCTCAGTTACATACATTCAGTTCCATTTTCATCTGTTTCTAAAATGCAAAGCTAACTGCACTTCTGTCACCAGGTAGTTCTAATTTAAGAAGTGAAGATGAAAAAAGGTGTCTTTGCCCATGGCAAGGGGGATAGAAGGAGATGATCTTTAAGGTCCCTTCTAACACAAACCGTTCTATGATTCTATGAATGTATAATGATTCTATGAATGCATAATTAGGTTAATTAGCCTCCATCACATCCAAAGTGTAAGCCAAAACCCCAAATCCCTCCAGCTGGAATAAGTGAGGCAATTTCTCTCATTATGGCTTCTACCATGGTAATATATGGTGTTTTCATTCCTAGCTAGTAAGAGGATCTGAAGTAGCTGCTTATGAATAACCTGACCATACCAGCTGTTTACACAGCCAGGAGGCAGAGAAAAGTTTTCTGCAAGGGACAGTTCTCACCTTCTCCTGTTGAGCTGATAAGTTTTAGTATAGGCTGAGAGGCCAGAAATATTTTAAAGGCAGAAGGAAGACTCCTTTCTGCACCATCACTGAACAGGAACACTGTTTAAGGAAAAATATCCATCCTCTTTACAGACATACCCTGTGCCAAAGGTAAGCTAGCAAGTCTCCTGCTAGCCTGGTCAAGAGAGGTCAGGCCAAGCAGTGCCAGGTACCACAGGTACTTAGTGGGACTATCTTCTGCTGCCAGTCAAGGACCCTTTTCATGGCTGAGGAGATAAGACTGGCCCCTCTTTCTTCAGGTGGCTCTGAGAGCATCTCATCTATTTGTCCCCTCCTTTCTCATCCTGGGACACAAGGCAAATTCCCTTGCAGTTTAAAGCCTAGCACAAAATCCAATACCAGACATCATCACTCAAATGCTACAGGGACACAAATAGTTCTTTTTTGGGGTATTCCTCCTTCCTGAGTACTTTTTCCTCTTTGACCTCAAGCAATCTTAGTGCCTTTTCAAGAGTGTTAGCTGCTGACCATGTAAGTAACAGTGGCACTTAAGGACTTCACCCATGATGAGCCAGGGAAACCTGAAGGTGCATGTTTTTCTAGGAAAAGAAACAGTGCAACTGGGTTTACAGCACCATCACCAAGCACACAGCCAGGAGCATGGGCTCAAAGCCAAGGGCTTTACATAGCAGCATGAAACCTCCAAGGACTCTAATCATTTCCCTGACACCAGCTGTGCCACCACTCCTTTTTACAGGAAAGTCAACAGGAGGCACATGAGCATTGACAGACTCATGGCTGACTTACAGCCAGGAGGAGACACTCGTGACAGTAGCTGTGACACCTCAGAGAATGGCAGCAGACCTTGTGCTCTGAGCCTCCAACCAGGTTCTAGCGTGCCTCTTGTCACTGAGAGGAGGATGTGCCTGTCATCAGAACGGAAAGACTCCCCGTGTTGGCTCGGCCATCCTCCCCACGGCTCCGGGGCCCTTGGAGCGGCCGCAGAGCTGCTCCTGACGTCAGTCAGGAAGCACAGGTTTTGAAACAGCTTGTGTCCATGTTGCCATGCCCGGTGAGCTGCCTTGCTGGTTGGCTCTGAACAGACAGGCTTTCAGCGAACACACGGGTCCCTCCTTGCCTCCGGCCAAAAAGGCCAGCAGCCAAGATGTACATGTCCGCTTTCTGGAGCTCACAAGCTTCAGGAAACAAGGATCAAGATCCTGTAATCACGTTTCAGGTGGGGAAGGGCCACCCCTGCAATGGTAGCACCATTGTGCAGTTTAAAGCAGCTCAGCTAAGGAGCAGTCAAAGACGCGCCATTCCTCAAACTCTGTCCTTGCACAGGGAGATCCTCACAATGGCATCCTGCCTCTACGGTTCGGGAGCTAAATCAATACAGAGCAGAACAGAAGCTGAAGGTCTTCTGGGAACCATTTCCATCAGGCAATACTTCAGGCAACCTCTGCCACAACTGCCTATGTACTGAAGAAGAGGCACGGAGGACGGTGACCACTCACCAGCACTGCCAAAAGCACCAGCTTATTGGTCCATCCCTCCAAATGTGCCTGATGGCCTGTGTAGGGGAAATCAAAACTGCTGGGCTGTGGCCACTCATCTCTTGGAGGTGCAGCAGCTCTGTAATGACCCTCTCCATATCTTGATCTTGACTCTGCTACTTGTCCTCTTTCTCTGAATGTCTTAAGAACACGATTTGACCAAAATCACAGAAAACAGGAAACTACCTTCTTCCTTCTCCCCTTGCACTCCCCATCTGCTATCAGCTGTTCCTTCCTTTACCAGTAACTCCAAAAAATAAAAGCAGAGCTTCAGGCAAGGAAAAATTATCCTTTTAAGTGCAGGGTGGCCAGGGGACAGGTCTGTGTTGCTCAGTGGCCCAGCTGGAGCAGGGCATTTGGGAGTGACAGAGGGACACCCACGGCTAAACCCCAGGCACGAGGCCTCCCTCCGGTTATGTCAGCCAGTGTCCATGACGTTGTATAATCATGTACATGGCTGGCTCCATAAATAGCTCCTCTGATCAGCAACACCCGAATATCCTTCCTGCCTGGGTTGCTAATAGGAGGCAGGAATTAATGCAAGGCAATACGATTTAAGTAACGTGGCCTTGCTCACGCTGCTCGGGTGTCTCTGACAGTCACACAGCCCAGCACAGAGGCGAGGCAGGTCGGCAGCAAAGGGAAAAACCTTCAGCCTGCAAAGCTTTGCAGCCTTCACGTTGAAAGCTACACAGGGCTACGTGCCTAGCACTCAGTAGGATGCTGGAAACAGATGTTGCTGCAACATTAGAGGAAATCCTCCTTTTAAACACGGGTATTAGCACACAGTTCTGTATCGCTTTTTCAGCAAATTCCTCCCATCCACACATTTTAAAGGTGCAGCACTGCACCAAAGCACCATGCTAGAAATCCTTGCGTTTATCCAACAACTTATCCTGATGTCTGATTTACCTGGCTCAAGAAAAAATGCAAAGTGACTCAACATCTTCTGTCAAAGCCCTGGTGCCACCCCTCGTTTCTAGGTGAGGCAGGAATAATTTGTCAGCCTGATGATCATTGCCATTCCTTTCAAAGCCAAATGTGGAAACAGAGGGAAACATGCCACTTTTGCCTTTATTCCCTTCCTTTTGTGCACAGCAAATATCAGGCATCCCCTGTTCCTCTGTCAAGTCTGTTTTTCCCGTGAGGATTTAAGAGAGCGGAGACACTTGGCCTTCAAAATTCAGCACAGAATGTGGAACCTAAAGCTGAGCTGTTTTTCTTTCCAGAGCTTTGATTAAGTGTTAGCCAAAACCAAGCAAAATAAAGCTTTAAGAATGTGAAACAAAAGTCTAAACAGTGTCTACACTCATCATGTGACAGCTATTTATTTTTCAGGCATCTACGGCATCTTCCAGGGAACGAGATATTTCTTTTGTAAATATGCAGCCGGCACATCACCTACTTTCAGTGTTTCTTTTTAAACATTCTTGTATTTTATTACCAGGAACATCATGGAATGAGTTCTTCTCCAAGACTCTTTTAAAAATCCATAAGCAAGGGACTATGAATTTTAAGAACAGCCCAGAGATGCCACAAAACCCCATTTCCTCCTTCACCTCAGCGCAGCGCACAGTCCTCCATTATTGGTGTTTTGGGGCCCACACCGAACAAGATGCTAGAAAAGGAAACAACCTCCCCCCAAAAGTAAAAATGTCTCACCAACAGTATGCTTTCCATAGAGAAGCTGCTCCAAAATCGCAGTCTTTCCCACTGAGGCCATTCCACAAACCACCACCTTGTAGCCCTTTCCCATGTTTCCCGAGGGCCGGTTCCGCAGCGGAGCCCTGTGCAGACAGGGGAGGCTGTGAGCCTGGCACGGCGCAGGGATGGGCACCAAGGGTGGGAGCTGAGCCCACAGAAGGCACAAGGCAAAGCGCCAAGCAGCGGGGGCACAGCTCCCTCACAGCGTTCGCCAGCGACTGATATTTTTAGGACTAAAATTTCCTCCCACATCATTTTTTTCAGGTTTTAGGCTGCTGCCAGTGATGCTGATGCTTGCCTGCAGCCTCGACACTTGTCCTGTCAGGTTTGGGGAGACTGGGAGTGCTGGAGCATGCACACCCCCAGGGCTTAGGCTGTGTTTGTTGGTGTGTGTGTGTGTGCACAGCGTTATTGGGCTTCCTGGGGTGGGCTTGATGGTATTTCATAGTACCAGGATGGCTTCTAGAAATGCAAGAAAATGGTGGTTCCTTCCCTTTTATTCTGCTCACAGAAAGTTTCTAGCTTTTACGGACTAGGAGCTACAAAACAGGAGTGTTAAAAGACAGGCAGAAGCAGAGGAAAGCAAATACAGAAGCAGGTTTTTTCGGCCTGCTTTAAATCAGTTTGATGGGTGGGGTTGGCTGTAGCAGGAAGCATCCAGCAGCTAGGGGCATTTCCCTCTGCCAGTGAGCCATGGCAGGGCAGCAGGCCCTGACTCAGTTTGCTGTTTGGAGACATTTGCCACAGAGAGAGCTGAAGAGTACCTTTTCTGGACCAGGAGGGACTGGCGTTGTCCTGCTTCAATTCCAGTTTAACCAGGCAATGCTTCACAAGCCAGGGTGCTCTGAAAAGCATATGCTGAAAAACAGAAAGGTCACCCTGCAGCCGCAGGTAGGGAGGCAGAAGGGACTTGCAGGCTGAGAAAGCCTAACTCATAGAATCAGAATGGCTTGGGTTGAAAGGCAGCTTAAAGATCCTCTCCTTCCAGGCCTCTGCCGTGGGTAGGGATGCCACCAATGAGACCAGGTCACTCAATGCCCCATCCGACCTGTGCCATGCAGGAGGGATGGGAGCAGGGACAGGAGCAGACCAGTGGGTAAAGCCAGGGCCTGCAGAACCAGGCTCGATGGCATCCTCTCCCTACCCTCCACTGAAAAGGTTTTAGGGATTGTTTCTAGGGTTTTACCCTTAGCATTTACTATTTAGAATAGAATAAAATAGAATCATTAGGTTGGAAGAGACCTTTAAGATCATCCAGTCCAAACAGCAACCCAGAACTACCACAGTAACCATTAAACCACCAAACCACATCATCCAGCAACAAATCCAGATGCCTTATAAACTCCTCCAGGGATGGTGACTCCTCAACCTCTCTGGGCAACCTATTCCAATGCCTGATGGCCCTAACAGTGAGAAATTTTCTTCTAATACCTAATCTGAGTCTCCCATCTCAGCTGAAGGCCATTTCCTCTGGTCCTCTCACGGCAGTCACAGTAGAGGAGACCAACCCCCAGCCCACTACATTCTCCTTTCAAGGATTTGTAGAGTGATGAGATTTCCCCCGAGCCTCCTCAAAACTAAACAAATCCAGCTCCCTCAGCCCTTCCTCGTAATCTTACGATTTTAAAAATTATTGTTATTTTAGGGTTTTTTTATTTTTTTTTAAGGCTTCATTTCAGGGTTTTAAGCAAAGTCCCGCCCCAGTCCCTAACGTGGGGGGGTTACGGGGGGTTGGGGAGAGGGGGTATATCAGGAGATGCCGCATCTCGCCAAGCCCCTGCCCCAGGTGCAGTCCCCGGGCAGACCGTGCCCCAGTGTCCCGGCCCCAGAGCGCGGCCCCGGCCCCCGAGCGCGCCCCC